GCGCATCGCGATGCGCTGCACTGCGCACGTGCGCCGCACCGTGCATCCCGCACGACGCGCGCGCACTGCATGCGGCGCACCTAAAAAAATGGGGGTCAAAAAAAAAAAAAAAAAGTTGTGAGGGGCGGCAGTAGACCCGGCCCCCTGCTCGCGTAAAATAAGAAACGGGCAGCCAAAAAAAGTTGTGAGGGGCGGCAGTAGACCCGGCCCCCTGGTAGGGTTCTTGCAGGCCAGATTCAGTCATGATGAGGGTTGCGATTTCTCAAAACGTTCTCTTCTTATTACTTCGGAAGTAGAAAACGACGGAACTGACAGCCGTTTTTCCTGGAACGTTTTTTTTTTTTTTTTTTAAAGGAAGAAAATCAGAATTTCTTTGCACGAGTGTCGCCCGACACGTCCAACCTGTCAGAACCTCAACGGTAATTGTAGTCTGTATGGTAGGCAGGCCAGATTCAGTCATGATGAGGGTCGCGATCTCTCAAAATGTTCTCTTCGTATTAGGGCATCGCCACACCACTCTCGAAATTTGCAAAATGGGGATGAACTTCCCGCTAGAACACGACCAGATGGGCCCGCCACATTTTTGTCTTTTTCACATTTCGAGAGTGGTGTGGCGAGGCCCTTACTTCTGAAGTAGAAAACGACGGAACTGGCAGCCGTCTGTCCTGGATTTTCTTTTTTTTTAATAAAAGGAAAAAGACGTAAAGGAAGAACAACTCTTTGCACGAGTGAAGCCCGGCGTGTCCAACCTGTCAGAACATCAACGGTAATGTTTACCAACGGGCTCGCTGCACTACTCTCGACATGCATTACAAGACATATATGGCAATGTATCTTTCCATGTTCAAGCGGAGGATTCAGTCTCATTTGTTCAGAGATTCTCCAAAAAAAAAAGAAGAAAGGTTCCAGAGATACGTTACGTGCTTACTTGATTCATCGGCCCTTCGCTCTCCACCACCCAACGTATGAATGAAGCTTCCGCCAGAACACGGAAAGATACACCGCCATATTTTTTGTCCTTTGTACATGTCTCCCCGCTTCCAGATTCATGTTGCCCGTTGATAAGGGCGGTTTCTTCGGTCCAACAGTGTCAGCACACGGTTCTTCTCTCTCTCACACGGTTTCTTCTCTCTCTCTCTCTCTCTCTCTCTCTC